CTTAAGCTACATAATCTTTACTCCCTGGAATGGAGATAAGAAACGCCCTAACCTTTGTAATAGAAATTGACAGGATTAAAATCAACTGGTATAAATACAGATGTAACAAGACAATAAACGGCAGAACTTCTCTGGAGATCCAGACCAGAACTTGGCTGGAGATCCTGGCTAGGCTGCTGATCAGCTGAATGCTGTCTCTGTGTCATTCATTCTTCGCCGACTCCGTCTACACCTTTGGGAACCCCTGGACCTGCTGGGTTTGGACCCCCGCACTTCCTCTCTGTAAAAAATCAATAAAACATGTTGCATGAAAACAGCCAATAACAAAAATAGTATTTATAAGATTTTTTAAAAATATGAAATATAAGAAAGCCAAACTAGTAAAAGGCGACAGAAAACAAATCAGTGGCTGCCTGAGCCTAAGGATTGAGGCAGGAATTTGCTGCAGAGGGGCAAAAACCAACTTTTGGGGCTGATAGAAATGTTCTCTCTTGATTGCAGTTAAATGGGTGTATACACTTTTCAAAACTCATTGACCTATACACTTTAAATGTGTGCTGTTAATTTTATGTAAATTATACTTCAGTTAAGTTGATTTTTAAAAAAACGCATACCACCACCTTTGTTTAGGCACTCATTTCTCATTTGGATGAACACAATACTCTCCTAAGTAGTATTCCTGCAGTTGTCTTCTTTAAACTCATATACTGGGCAGCAACCTAAGTGATCCATTTAAAACAAAGCTGAACTTGTCACTTCCCTGCATACAACCCTTTAATTACGCACCCTTAACTGGCCCATTAAAATAGCATATTCTGTCTTCTTTAGTCTGGCCCTTGACTATCTTTTTGGCGCATTTTCCATTACTTCCTGCCTTTCTTTTTGCTTATGATTCTCAGTTCCCAATACACACCATGTTAACCTCATTTCTTGTACCTGTACTCATCTCTCACCTCAGATTTTTGTCTAGTTTTACCTTTTAAAACTCAGCTCAGGACTCTCCTCCTCCAGATAGCATGCATGCATGTATGTATGTATGTATTTATTTTTTTAATTATAATAAATTTTTTTTATTGATTTCAGAGAGGAAGGGAGGGGGAGAGATAGAAACATCATTGATGAGAAAGAATCATTGATCAGTTGTCTCCTGTGCTGGGGTCCAACCCCAGCAGGTCCAGGGATTCCCCATAGGTGTGGACGGAGTCTGCGAAGAAGGAATGACATGGAGACAGCGTTCAGTTGATCAGCAGGCTTGCCAGAATCTCTAGCCACAATCTCCAGCCAAGTTCTGTGTCCATGTTCTCTTGCTAGGTTCTCCAGCCAGGTTCTCCAGGTTCTCCAGGTTCTCCAGGCAGGTTCTGTCACCAGGTTCTGTCTAGGTTCTCCAACCAAGTTCTGTAGCCAGGTTCTGTCCAGGATCTTTTGCCATGTTCTCTCCAGCAAAGTTCTTCTGTCTCTAGGTTCTGTGTAGCTTCTGTCTTCTAAGTTCTGTCTTCTAAGTTCTGTGTCAAGAGTTAAAGTGATTAATTACCCGCCTGGCACTTAGTTAAGAGGTTTTATTCCCTCCCTAACTTCAGGGGAAAATCCCTACCTGGGGAAACAACCTTTCTCGGAGAGGTGACCTTGGTTAAAACAGAGCGCCAAGAAGGTGAGCAAACATATTAAGAACAGTATTCCATATATGCCAGGTCCCTTCAAACAGCAAGGATCACATCCCACACTGGGGATCGAGCCCTCAATCTGGGCATGTGTCCTGACTGGAGAATTGAATTGTGACTTCCTGGTTCATAGGTCAATGCTCAACCACTGAGCACACCGGCTGAGCCAGAGAGCCTTTATTTTAAACATCCTTCTTTACATGTTTCCTTTCAGAGTTAAATGCTCTCAGATTATGTTTTTGGTTCATCATAACTTATATAAATATATTTACCATTTTGGCTTACTATGTTTTAAGTTCTCTCTCCCCCGCTAGATTGTGCACTTTTGACTACAGTGATTATGTGATATTTATATTTTGGATCCAGAAGGTCTGTTTCATAATAGGTACTTAATAAGTATATGTAGTAAGATTGAGTATAAATGTTAAGTGAGAAAAGAAGATAAAGGTACTATACATAGTATGATTATTACTATTTTGTTGTAAGCAAAACTCTTTGCATAGAAAAAAGACTAGGAAGATTTATATCATCATTTTAACACTTTAGTTTGGATGGTGAGATTAGTTTCTTTAATATTTTTGACAGCTTTGCATTAAAAACATTTAATGTACAATTATTTAATGAGACATAACCTAAAACACAGGCTGTATAACTTTGCATACTCAACTGAATTTTTGCATTTCTTTAGGTCCACAAGACAGTTACAATTTCCAATCCCTTAACCACAGATCTGGCTGGGGAGATTCCTGTTTGGTCAAAGACTGTATCAGTCCAACTTGAGACGTCAGAGGATCTGGGTACTACGTCTAGCACTCAGCAAGTAAAAAACCCTGGGATAACCCAGATTGCTATCCCTCTGCCAGTGACTCCCTCCTACAGTTATGCTACCCCTACCCCACACACCTCTTTCCAGAGCACCTCTGCACCATTTCCAGGTGAGGCCCTTTGCTTCTGCCCATGGAGATAGGATGGGAAAGTAGAACATTTGATCAAAATGTTCCCTTTTATTGGAAAGAAAGGAGGGAAGCATGCCTTTTAATTCTGTAGGTTAGAGAAAAAATAATCCTGTAAGTATCCCTGTAATCATAGGATTGAGGGCTCTCAGTCCTTTTCTCAACAGGCCCACTACCTATGGGAGTTTATGAAGCTCATTTTCTCAGAGCCAGATTCCACTGTGCCTGGGACTTAAAGGCATAAAATTCAATTAAGTAATGTTCAAGGAATCAAGCAAGCAGAGGCCACTGGGAAGAAACAGTTGGATCTGTGCACCCATTTGCCTTCTGTATAGCTGAGTGTAGGCCAGATATTTATCTCTGATTGTGACAGCATCTTTATTTTTTTAAAGCAACCCATAGGAAGATTTATACTTAGAATATTGCCTGAACAAGTCTGTGCTTCATGAATGCTGCTCTAAGGTATTAGCAGGAAATGGTTAATCAAGGAAACCAAGTTGATCTTCAACTCCCAAAAAAGTCAAAAGGGTGAAGCAAAGCCAGTAAAAATGATTCTTTGCCAAATTTTAATTTCCAAGGGTCTTTTTAAATTGTAAATAATGTAAAAATTTGGGTTTTAATCCTGTGGCACTAAAGTAACCTTTTTATTCAGACAAAATGCCTGTAATTTTTGGTATAATTGTGAAAGGTTTGGACTGTATTGCATTTTTGTCCATTATACTTTATCTGAGCATAGCGATTTCTTTTCTTTTTTTGAGAGTCACTTCAGAGAATTCTATTTCCACCTCCTGGGGTGTCTAAATGGTGAAGCTTCCATATTGGAGATTTTATTTCTCCCAATGCATGCAGTGTTCCCAAGCAGACAGATAAATTTCAAATTTCATATTTGTCTAGGAAGCTTTCTCACGTTTAGTCTTGAAATGTAGGTGGACTAGCCAGTTATTTGATTTAAGCTCTATAGTTCTAAGATCCCGTACCAAATGAACAATTATTGCCAGAGAAATAAGATTAATATAATCAGTGTTTCTCAACAGCCTGTAAATATTTTGGGCTGTTACAACTATGGAGAAGGGGGTGCTGCTGACATCTGGTGGGTAGAGGCCAGCGATCCTGCTAGATATCTTAGAATACACAGGACACAATTTTTCCCACAACAAAGAATTATCTGGTCCAAAGTGTCAAAGTTGAGAAATCCTAACATGTATGAAATAGCTGGTGAATAGTATAAAAGACAGTATATAGCTATTAACTGATGTGGTATTCAAAAAATGCTAAAGTAGTTCAAGAAGTAGATCAGTTTGAACTGAAATGGTCTGAGAAAATTTCTTGGAGAGAAGAGTGGCTTTGAACTAAAAGCAAAGTATTGTATTTAGAATAAAGAAAACTCACACCCCAGTTGAATTCCCGAAGAGTAGACTTCAATACCCTGACTGTGTGGCTCAGTTGTTTGACTGTTGTCCCGTGCACAGAAAGGTCACTAGTTTGATTCCTGTTCGGGCACAATACCCAGGTTGTGGGTTCAACCCCAGTTGGGGTGCAACCAATCCATGTTTCTCTCTGACATTGATGTTTCTCTCCCTCTCCCTCACCCTTCCTCTCTCTCTAAAACAAATACATACTTTTTTTTTTAAAGAGTAGACTTCAATGGGAACACAAGACGGAAAATGAATATAACTAGAGACAGAATTGGGTAGAAAGCATGAGATGGTATAATTAGAGGATAATGATTCTCTAGTACCAGGTTATGAATTTGGCCATAAACATGGGGGGGGTGGGCATCTTGAGTAGGAGAGTAACATGGTGGGTGAATATTTTAGAAAAATTTAATGATGGTGGGTATTTTAGGAAAACAGAATGGATTAGAGTGGGGAGGGCTAACAGAAGGAAGAATAGTGAAGATTCTTGGAAGTTGGAATGGAAATAAGTCTGGCTTTGTGATTGACACATGCTTTTCTTCTAGAAACTTCATATCTATTTTTTAATTGACTTGAGAGAGAGAAAGAAACGTTGATTTGTTGTCCCACTTATTTATGCATTCATTGATTGATTCTTGCATGTGCCCTGACCGGAGATTGAACCCACAAGCTTGGAGTATCAGGATGATGTGCCAACCAACTGAGCTACCTGGCCAGGGCCTTCATATATGTATTTTTTAAAAATATATATTTTATTGATTTTCCACAGAGAGGAAGGGAGAGGCATAGAGAGTTAGAAAAATCAACGAGAGAGAAACATTTATCAGCTGCCTCCTGCACACCCCGTACTGGGGACGTGCTTGCAACCAAGGTACATGCTCTTGACCAGAATCGAACCTGGGACCCTTCAGTCCGCAGGCCGATGCTCTATCCACTGAGCCAAACCAGTTAGGGCCATATATGTATTTTATTTAGAAAATTATTTATCAGCATGAAGATGATTCTTGAAACAGTTAAGCTCTGTTTATGAGCTCTATACAAACAGAGCTTAAAGGTAGACCACAGTTAAAATACAGTATAGAAAAACTTAGAGAAAAGTAGAATAATATGGTGTCGTGATAGCAAAGTTTTAATATATCGAGGCAGTCAGCAGTATTAGATGCCACGGAAGTGAAGGATGAGGGTGGAGAAAGCTATTTGATCTGCCAAGAAGCAGTTTGTTAATGGCCTCAGAAGATTCTGTTCAGTGGAAAAGTGGAGGCAGAATCAAATTTCAGGCAATTAGAGTGGATAAATAATGAAGATATGAAGGCATTAGCTGAATATTGTTTATCAAAGAAATTTGGCCACGGAAGGATAAAAATGAGATAGCTTGGGTCTAATTTCTTTCTTTCTTTTTTATAATATATATTTTTATTGATTTCAGAGAGGAAGGGAGAGGAGAGGGAGATGAGAGAGAATCATTGATTGGCTGCCTCCTACACGCTCCCCACTGGGGACCGAGCCCGTAACCGGGGCATGTGCCCGGACCGGGAATCGAACCATGACCTCCTGGTTCATAGGTCAATGCTAAACCATTGAGCCACACTGGCTGAGCGAGTCTAATTTCTTATCTCTTGTATATTTTCTTTGTTTGCAGTTATAAAGAAACTGGTCATATCTGCTGGAGAGAATGTCCAGATTACCCTGCCTAAGAATGCAGTCCAGTTAAATGCATATGTTCTCCAAGAGCCGCTTGAAGGTAGTAAAACATCCGCTTACATTTGGGTAATGTTTTAATTTATAATGAAATGTTTTAATTTATAATCTACATAACTCATTTACTCACTGCATCAATCCTATGAGAATAGGATATAGTATGCATGTGCACAAATATATATGTGATACGGGAGGCGATATAACAATGTTTGAGATCATAGGCTTTAATGTCAGGCTTGGATTCAAATCCCAACTCAGCCGATCATTAGCTGAAAGATTTTAAGCAAGTTATTTAGTTTCTCTAATTTCTATTTCTTTCTCAGTAAAATCAGATGATTTCTACATCATTAGGTTACTTTAAGGGCAAAATTAAATGGTATATAAGACATCCACTTCTGTGCATAGCATATAGCTGATGCTCATTAATGGTGGTATTATACCAAAAGAGGGAGAAACTGAAGCTTAGGTTGATCTCTTTATTTTGGCCAAACAACTAGAAAATAGCAGGTATAAAACTTACAGAGAAGTTATTCAAGACTACTGCTACTGTAAATTTGTTACTTAAAAAAAAAAGACAGGTCCAATATAATATATAAAACTCAAATTTATAAAATACATAAATTAAGGGATGATTAATTCATTGTTTAAGAAAACTTTTATAATATAAACATCACTTTCACCTTTGAAATATCCATTAATATACCAAGGTTTGACTTATAAACACATACATATCCTCTTAAGACTATGACATGAAGTGAACACACTGTGATGGAAAATGATTGCATTGGGTCTATATTACTGTCATTTATAAGATTAGTCAAGTAGAATGCCATACTCGATTCAGGAAGGGGTACTTCCATTTTAGGTATACACATTTCCAGTACAGTACTTCTACTTTCTGGGCCTCATATCAAATTTAGAACCTAAATGCCCTCCCTCTCTGTTGTATATTTCTGTCCTCAAATTGAGTTTTCCTTGTCAATTCATTCCACCTTTAGAGAAGTTTCTTGTATTTTTTTTATCCTCACCCAAGGTTATACTTACTGACTTTAGAGAGAGGGGAAAGGAGGGAGTGAGGGAGGAGAGAGAGAAACATCAATGTGAGCATGAACATCTATCGGTTGCCTTCCCACAACCTTTCAGTGTACAGGATCATGCTCCAACCAAATGAGCCACACCAGCCAGAGTAAAGAAGCTTTTTTCTCTCCTCCTCTGGTGTTAAGATGAATGGGTTTGATGGTCGTTGAAGGTGATGGTGAGGAAAGAACTGCCTTGAGCTGCCATTGCTTCCACTCTTTGGTGAAAGATATGCTAGGCTGTACTGTATTTTCTTTTCTAACCTCTGTTTGCATGTACATTTCTGTGGGTTAATATTGCCTTGTATTTCAGTATTCTAAAGCACATCAGTTCAGAAAGAGATTCTTTTCAACTCTCCATTCCCCAGGTTCAGATAAAGTGGATATTTCAAACTTTCAAAGTGTGGGGACAGTGAGGGTAGGACCAGCTATGCCTGCTCGTCATCCCCCTTCTGTGGCAGCCCCTGACGTATCTCTAAAGATCCCTCCAGGGTTTGGAGGCACAGTTTTGAAAACCACTGCCCTAAATTATTAAAACCAGCAATCTGTCTAACAGACCTATACTTAGTCATTCCTACCCTTAGATAAATTTCTGGCTGTAAGGAATAATTCATCCCCTGAACTTTTCTGTCCTAGGATTATTGTCCTTTTTGGAAATTTGTGTTGTTAGCCACATATATTATAAAATTGTCAGTTCCCAAACTAGTGTGGGTCTAGTTTCTGTGTGGAAAAATATGTTCAACTACAGTTGAAAGAAATGTCATCTCCTACACCAGTTCTACTTCTACTGCTTCCTCCCTGCTCCTTATCTAGCCCAGCTTCTCCGTGCACATTTGTGTGGGCTGACAACTGGCCAAAAGAAAACTAGTGTTTTGGAGAGGAAGGTGGAGTAATAGATCTTGTATCTCAGGCTTATAAAAGAATATCTGGTCTTAAGATGAAGGCTATCTTAGAATTAAGTTCTATGTGTTAACTTTAACTTTTGAACTCGTGAAATAAGAAAAAGATGAGCATTCACTGCTAAGCATTTGAGATTTCTTATGTTTCCTTTTATTTTTTACTTTGGGGTATAACTTAAACTAAACCTTCCTACCAAATCCCACTCTTTACTAGCCAGACATGCATTTTGTTCCCCAAAATTTAAGACCATTTTAACTGGGGATGGATTCCATTTAGATAATGGCATTCTATCTTTGACTTACCCAGTCATATAGTCTGAGCTACAAATGAGGACCATTTAATGCTTCATTTGATCTTAATTAACTTCAGTGGGGCTGTTTAAGTGGGCCATCCCCTGCCATCTTCTGCAGTGTTATTTCGCTCAGCTGGAATGAAGCAGCTCTTTTAACTCACCAGGGTGTGATGACCTCAGTGAGTCGAGCATTGTTAGCATTCTGTAAAAAGCTATTTTTGAAACATGTTATTTAGAAGTTATTGCTTTGTTGCAAAAGAAATTTTACAAGAAAATGGCCTTTGTTTCCAATGAGTTCATCTGTAGTGGCTGGTAGGGCATGCATTTTCTTTGGCATGCCACACCAAGAGAAACCTGGTATTTTGGGGGAGGGTTGGTCCTGAGTAGGGTGGATATGAGGCAGTATTGAGCATTGCTGGGAGAAAGTGGAAGAATCCCTGACTATGGCTGAGTTAGCATAACATACCCTTTCTTTCAACAGAATGTTTGGTTTCCCTATAGGTTTTGGAGTGAAATCTTAAAAACTAAGGTCTTGTCAAGGTTTAGAATAGATTTGTTATTGGCAGACTGTGTGGCTGCCCTCTTTGTGTGTAGGTGTGTGTTTTGATGATTTTTGTAACTGTCCTTCCATAGGAGAAACCTACACCTACGACTGGCAGCTGATTACTCATCCTAAAGACTACAGTGGAGAAATGGAAGGGAAACATTCTCAGATCCTCAAACTATCCAAGGTGAATTCGTATCCTGTTATTTGCAGGACCGGGTTAGAGGTGTTGACCATTTAAAACAGTTTATAATATAGAATTTTTTTCTGTCAACACTTAAGTTGGAAATAATGTTTCAGAAGTGAATCCTTCAAAAATCTTGACTGGCTGACATCCAGTATTTGTTAGTATGTGATTCTCAAATTTTCATTTATGATGAAAAGACTGTATAAGCATGGTGGTGATAGCTTTTGAGTGCGAATATATGCTCAACTGCTTTTAAGGGTAACATAAGAATTTTAGAATTTGGGAAATAAGGTAAGCTATTTGTGGCCACATGACTGTAAATTGGCTCAGTCATTTTTTTCTAGACTCACTGTAGTTATTTAGAGCCATAGAATTGACATATTCTTTAGTCAAGCAATTAACTTCCTTCCTTCCTTACTCCCTTCCTTCTTTTCTTCCTTCCTTCCTTAACAACTGTTTATTGTACACTAGTTATGTGGCAGGCATTGTTACCAGTGAGTTAATTTACCAGAGATACTGACTGAAGACAAGTAACCTTAACATGGGATTCACTAGGTCAGTGTAGGGGATGTTGAAACCCTAGAGAGTCAAAGTAGATTTTTTAGAGTTTGTCTAGTTGGGTCATGAAAGGTTTCTAACTTAACTGGATAAAGGGTAGAGTGATAATACTATAAGCAAGGGAGGTAATATGTCCACTGGACCAAATATTAGACAGAAAATGTGGGAAAAAGAATTATATGTGGTTGAGCCTTACTAGACCCTGTGGTATGAAAAGAGCAGTGGCACAAGTAAGTTGGGGAGATACAGAGGCCAGATTGCACAGAGCCTTTGTAAGGACTTTGAATCTTGTCCAGAGGGAACATGAGCCTTTGAAAGATTTCAAGCAAGATAAAGACATGTTCATATTTTCAGTTTGGAAAGATCACCCAGACCACAGATTGAAGGAGATAAGACTCAAACCAGGGAGACCATTGAGGAATCTGTTGACAAATGTAGGTGTGAAATGATAATAGCTTGAGTAAAAAAAACCTAAATAAATAAAAATTTAAAACCACCTATTGAGTTCATACCATATGCTAGAAACAGTACTTTTATGCAATTATTTTAATATTCATAACACCCCCAAGATGTAGATATTAATATATGTTTTATAAATTGTAAAATGAAAAATTGGAAAAATAAAGTGATTTGGTCAAAGTTTACAAAACTATTAAATGGTACTTTTGAACAGGAACTTTCTGTCTCTAAAGCCCTCCCCCCAGTACCTTTAACAACTGTGCTATGATGAATGGTTAAAAACTAAGGTGATGGTAGTGTGAATGGAGAAGTGATTGGATTGGAGAAATATTATGAGGTTGACTTGATGATAAGACTTGATGATCAATTAATTGGGTGAAGGTGTTGAAGAGAAGTCTAGGATAATTCTAGCCTTTGACTTAGGCATGTTAGTGGATATTGGTGTGAATATGGTGATATTCACTGAAATGAGCACAGAAAGAGGAACAGGTTTATGAGATTTGTAGATGATTAATTCATTTTTAAACAGAGTGAGTTTGAGGTACCTGTGAAACATTTGAGTGCAGGTGTCCAACAAGGGTAAGGGATTGGAGATCTGGGCTAGAGAGATAAATTTACACACCAACTTCAAATAGATGACAATTGAAGCCATGGTAATAGATGAGATCATCCAGAGAGTGTAGAATGAAGAAATAAATGGTCTGTGATTGGAATGTTAGGGAACACCATCATTAAGGGAAAGAAGAAATTGAAGAAAATGAGGAGTGGGCAGGGA